GAAGCTGCTTCCTAAGGGAGAGCTGAACTCATCCAAAGTCGCAGCGGTCGCCACCTTCCCTCTCCAGGGACGCTCAAAATCAGAAGCAACTCCTGAAAATCTGTCTGTTTGGGGCAGCGGTTACCATCTGGTTACCTCCACAGCCTGACAGGTCTGTTCCCGGAGGGTCTGGTGCGGACGAGGCTCCCTTGGCTGCTGATGCCGAAGGAGAGGCCAGTTTGGGCTGGGAAGGACTCCTGGTCTGGTAATGGGAACGCTAGTCTGAGCTCTGCAGGGGAGCCCCGAGCGCAGAGTGGAGATTCATATCACCCAGCTGCAAGGAAGAATAAACCAGAGCTGATCCACTCCCATCCCACGGGAGTGTTCCTGCAAGGGTAATTATTTCATGTTCCCATTGTTTTATTCCCTCAGCGGAGCAAGTTTGGTAGGAGCGTGAAAGAAAGTGGCAGAGTTAGCTGTGAAGTGGTGGATATGTTGTGCATTTGCCGTGCTGGGAGAAGGGGGATGCTGCTGGGGACTCCCGGTAGCCACACCACATTCTTTGCGCCCAAGGTCGAGCCACCTGCGCTGCTGCAGTCCCGCAAACATCCTCTCCCCTTGTCCTCTGCCAAAGCTGGACCGGCCACGGCCATGTTGTTCGCACACATCCGAATTGGTGTTTGTTATTGCTGGGAGTTCCTGCTTATGGTTCTGGTTTAAAGGGGTGCAGTGCAGTTTGGCCGTGTAAATGCTATACCATGTGTGGCTGGAAGGGGCCAGTTCCTGGATCTGGAGGCAATTGTGTGTGATCTAGAGAGAGATTATTAATATTCATTTTAAAAGTAGGTTTCACTGTGTCTGCCGTTTCCCCTGGGAAGGTGTTCCAGAATTGCATTTAGTGCTGGAAAGAAACCTTATTCTTATTTCTAGCCTAACTATGCTAATGTTCCCCTTATCCGCCAGCGTATGTCGGGAAACGCATGAGTATGTCAAAACTGAAAGTCAGTGGGTTCTTTTTGCATCACTTACATCATCTTCCTGAGAACTAAAAAAGTAAAACAGGCTTAAAATGAAAACAAATGCCGCTCAGCACAAAATGTAACTAATTAGGCTGGATGCTGGCCGTTTGAGTGGCATTCTTTGTTTCGGTGTTTGCAGGATTCATTAGTCACACTGCGATGGCACTTCTTGTTACTGTTGGGGAGCGGATCGTTCAGGTGATATGTGTGTATCTTTCGCCAGGAGCTTAGGGAGCCGCATGGTGCGAAGAGGATGTCCCGGGAGCCAGGTCCTGTTGGTGTTTCAGCAGCTGAGCTCTGGATGGCTCAAGGTCCCAGAACCTGGATCCTGTGGCTGCTTATGAGCTTTGGGTATCTCTTGCTCAAAGGACTTGGATCACGTTGTTGTGCACGTGCAGGAACTGGACTCTCTCAGGATCCTTTGTGCTCCTTCCTGATCAGCTGCAGTGTACAATGAACGGGCGCTCTGGCCCTAACAGCTGTCTCATTTTTATTCCTGTTTGTAGCTTGCTGCCTTGGAGGAGAGAGGATGGCTCAGGAGACAAACCAAACCCAGGTGCCTCTGTTGTGCACCACAGGCTGTGGATTTTATGGCAGCCCCCGGACCAACGGGATGTGCTCCGTTTGCTATAAGGAGTTTCTACAGAGACAGCAGAGCAGTGATCGGATAAGCCCCCCAGGTAGAGAATTTTTGCCTGACAAATCTATCTTAAACGGGTGCCTGGATGCAAACTGTGTTAAGCAACTAGGATAGAGCATGGTACTGGTACTGGATACCAGCAGATTTATTCCCTTCTGGAAAATTCATGTCTTTCCCTTTTGTTATAGACCTGAGCCTCTAAATCAATGACCCAAGCCTTTGAGTGCTTCTGTTCCCTGTAAGGGGGTCAGTTGTTTTCTTCTCAGTCCCAGCTGTTTGTGAAGCCCTGTCCTGGTCAGCACCTTCCAGTAAACTGTAAAATTTCACTTGCGCTAACAGTGGCACAAATTTTTAGCTATTGCCTGCTTGCTGAGTTATGTGCTGACTGCTGGGAACCATGACAGATCCTTGAAATGAAATTTTATTTGTGAGGAATCTGGCCCTTTGGGTTTGCATAATTTTCTCATCTTAACGGTGTTGACAATCAGAAGCAATGAAATAAAAGGTTTGTTTCTTGCAGCTAAACACAGCTGACACATCACCGAGCTGGGAGGCAGCTAGGTGCACAGAAAGGATGCTCTTCCCATCATTAGCAGGATTTTCTTTTGCTGAGAGTTTGTGCAGATGCACCATGTATAGGCTTTGCAATACCAGTGAGAAAGCCTTCTAGAGGTCTTCTGCAGTTTTGTTCCTGAGTGGCTTTCCTTGAAGCCTTTTCCTTGAATTACCCACCCCAAAATATATATTTGGAACACAGCCCTTCCAGACAGAGGGTTTTTCTAACAACCCTGACTTAGATCTTTGGCTGACATAAACCAACAGGTTTCTGTTGAAGCCAGTTCCTTTCAGCAGATGAGGATCTGGTTCTTAAACCTTGGAGAAGTTGCAAAATAACATTGAGTTCAGGGTATATTGGTAATGCAGCATCTTCATTTATACCGATAGGAGAATATTTATGCCGATGTGGAGTTTGCTTTGCAGTGCTGAGGAAAAGAAGGGAATCAAAGCATGATGGAGGTGTCATGGGTGACTGAAGTCAGATTTTACCAGATGTTAAAAAAAACACACAGTAATGGAAGACATTCAGCACATAACTCCTGCAAATAAACCCTCATCCCGCTAAAGGGAACTTGCAGGCCCTGAGAAGCTGACCAGAACTCCATACGAGTCCTGCAGCTCTCAGGAAGACGAGCAGCTAATTTCAGAGGGATGTTATGATCCTGATACAAGGAGTCATTCCTGATCTAATGTAAGAATAGTTGCACTGGATCATGGTGATGTCGGTCTAGCCCTGAGGTGGTATCCTCACAGAAACCTATGCACAAATTTGGAGGGGAGAGTATAAGAATAGGGGATCTGGGAGTGATCCCAGCAGGGGTGCACCCTCCCAGCTCCTGGCAGGGAGCAGGAGGTTAAAGCCAGTTGAAAGTGCTCCCCCTGCTTTCTCCTTGGTTGTCAAGCACCCAAGGAACTTGCTGACATTTTTAAGAGTTTACCGAGATTCTGATCTTGTTTTGTAGCGCCCAGTGGTCCCAACAGCAGCCCCACGGCTTCAGATTCAATTGCAGGGCAGTGTGCAGAGGGAGACCCCGCGCCTGAGGATGCAAAAGCCAGGTAGGGCTATAGTCTATGGGGCGAGTGGATCTACAGCCATGCTAAAAACCAGCCGTGGGACACAAGGGGTAGGCTGTCATCTGGTTTATATGGAAGATTGAGAAGTCCCTGATGATGATGGCTGATGTGTAGAGTCAGGTACCAGGGGGTCGGTAGTAAATTAAAACCTAAGTGACATCCTGGTTCTCTTGGAGCTAGTGCACCTTGTTTGTTACTAGCTGTGTTAAACTGTTGGGTTTCAACTCGGTCCTAAGTGAAAGCACTGGTGATGATCCAGTCTGAAAGCTGCGACAGCAGAATTTAGGGACCTCGGTCATATTTGATGGGAAGGAAGACAGTACTGCACTGAGTTCTATCATTGCGTTACCATCCTGACTCATAACTCTGTTGCCCTGTCCCTGGAGTTATTTGGATGAGCTGTTGCCTTGGCTTTGAGATATAATTGGGTGGGAAAGGAAACAGATCGTCACAGATTCATTCCATTTGTGTCTATAAAGAACTTTGATCCCAAATCTCAAGGGAACTTGGCCTGCTTTACTCCTGAGCTACCTCTGAGTATAATGAAATTAAATTTATGGGCTGAAGATCTTTCCCACATAACTGTTCCTCAAAAGAAAATACTTGTGTTTGCTCTATGGTTGCTTTGTTTGTTTGTTGCAACTGCTCCCAGTGCTCAGACTCCTGTGACCCATCAGATGACGGCCATGAGCATATCCAGAGAAGAAAACAGCAGCGAGACAGAAGAATTCATCAAGACAGAAGAAGCCTCATCAGCATCTTCCTCATCAGGTATGCAGATTGGTTTGGCCTTTGGTTTGGCCTTTGCATGAGTCTGAATGACACTGATCTCGCAAGTCAGTTTGAGCAGCAAGTACAATAATGCCCAACTCCAGGGGACAGTTGTTGCCTCCCGGCAGGAAAAGTACACCTAGCAGGGCAGCTAAGGAGAAAACAGTTTGTCTGACTCTGAAACAGGGAGGAGGGAAAATGCTGTGCCTGAGGGCAGGCCCATAGAGATTGCTTTGTGGGCTGAGGGCTGAGTAGCTGCCAGCCCTCGACTCACTGGCAGGAGGATAATCTTCCATGACGCCTATCCTAGTGAATGGCAGAAAGCCCGGAGCGTCCCACAGCCTGCTGCATGGCTGTTGTTGGCTGCAGTTCTCTACCATCTCTCAAGGGAGGAACGGAGATGGATCTGGTGTAGTCTTGGGAGAGAGGAGGTGTGTTTGTGGCAGTGCCCAGAGGAAGCTGCTGGCCTGGTTGGTGTCATCCTGTGTGATGGGAGGCATACCTGCCCCTCCAGAGGGGAATGTTAACGCTGTCGCTTCATTTGCAAAGTGGGTACCTTGAAGTGGTAGAAGAGCATGGGTGTCATTGCCCAGCAGGGTACGGCCTCCAGCTGATGAGTTACAGGGTGAGCCGTTGTGTTGCAGCCGAGCCGTAACCAAGTGACACTGCATTGGAGACACCCACCTTTAGTTCATCTGACAGTTTGCTTGCATTGAAAGCTAAAAAACCCCGAAGAGTTGTTGGTTGCTAAAAAAACGGGCTCTAGTCACTGCATATGACTGCATTTCGGATTAGGTAATCCCTTGCCTGCAAGCCCAGAAGACAATTTACAACAGGCAGGTGAGAGACTATTTGGTGAAAGAGAGGCTTAGAAGAGCCTGCCCCTTTCTTCTGACTGTGTGATTTTTAGAAAGTTGTTCACGGTCAGAGCCACAAAGCTATCTCTGCCTCTGTCTCCTTAGCCTGATTTTCAGAGCGTCCTGCAATGCAGGTGTGTATCTGCTAGCAGTTGGAGCTCCTCTCTCCTGTTGACTTCTCTAACCTGCTTAGGTACGGTAGGAAATCCTGCTAAGCATCAGTGACCTTTAACAATCTGGCTTTCAGAGCTCAGTTTTCCTTTTTGTAGATTAGAGACAGTGATGAGTATCTGTGTAAAGCATTCTGAGACCTACATACGAGGAGCACTTACGTAAGAGTCAGCAAAAATAATTAGTAGTACTTACAAGGGGTTAATTTTTTTTTTCCTGCAAAGATTAACTCTAGGCTCAGCTGTGCAGTTGAGTTACTGTACATCAGCTAAGCTGTAATGACGCATCCAGACACATGCTTAACCTATGGCAAGCACCAAGTAATTCTACTTAGTATTGCCTTTTCTCAGCAGGAGCTAAATGGCATCACGTTACCTTACATATGCCTTAACAAAACTGTAATACCTATGTGGTGTTTTTGAGCCTCAGACTTAAGGATCTTGAATCGCAGAGAAAACATGAGGCTGTTTGAGGTGTAGGTCTCTGTGGAACAAAGCAAATCTCACAGAGGTCTGTGGCACAGACCCAGAATCAGTAGGGCCTCAGGCAGCTCCTGTAATAAAACAAATGTGTTGCTTGGTTTATCAAGAAGGGTAGCAAAACTTGCCTCTATTTCAGGTACCCTGCTTGAAATATCCCAGAACACAGCTGAGGGCAAGACAACTTCAGAAAAACCGAAACAGAAGAAGAATCGCTGCTTCACTTGCCGGAAGAAGATAGGGCTAACTGGTAAGACGCTGGCTGTGGGGAAAACTTGCCTGCGGCCTAAGCAGTCTGGTTTCGTAGCCCTGCGAACAGACTTCCTTGCGCTGTGATGCTACCTGGTTTCAGAGGGTTGGCATGGGTCAGTGGTTGGAGGTACCACCCCAAAAAGTCCTTTACCTCTGCAAGATGTGGTGCTGCAGGGGAGGTGGGAGGGCAGCTCTGACCTGCAAACAGTGCTGTCCGAGGAAGTAGCCTGGGGAACCTGCCGCTCACTGTCAGGGTTCCTGCCAGCCCTTGGATGCAGGATTGCGGAACTGGATGGAGTGGTGCCTCTTGGGTTATTTCTGCCACTTGGCAAAAGCTGCTTGTAAAGGCAAGTAAAGTAAAGGCAGTTCTCACTGTGGATCTAATTCTGCTCCTATTCAGATCAGCAGTAAAGCTTTCATAAGAGTGACATGAACTGAGTTAGACCTAAACTGAAAATTCCACTCTTTCATCCCTTTTAATGTTGCTTGACTTGTGCTGTTAGCTTCCTGAGAGCAGGATGGCTCTCAGTGTTCAGCCAGTAAAGCTGAAGAGAGAGGGGTGCTGAGATAGTGTCAGGTGACTGGTATCAATGGGAAACTGCCCCTGGAAAGTGAAGCAATTAACTTGGCTGTGGTTTGTTAATAAAAACATAATTCTCCTAAATTGACTCTGGCATTTAGTGTTTCCCCTCAAAAAAATTAACTCTAGAGCTGTGCAGGTCACCCTGTTCTAGCGGAGCGCTCACCTCTTTAGCCTCCTCGGTGCATTCAGCAGCCAGGGACTGCACACACACTTCTGCTTTCATCGACATAAGCTGCTTTGGCACAGTCCGGCCCAGGAGGTTTGCCCAGCGCCTGGCACTGTGGAGCCCAAGCTTGCCTGGAGATTTGAGGGCACAGTCATAGAATAAATGTGGGTTTATAAGCGTGAGACTATGCCCAGCCTTCAGATCTGCAGGGAGGATTGTTTTCCTGGATGAGTGTTTCCTTAAGAGCTTCAAACTGTGAGAAGTTTCCCCTCCTTTAGGAATCAACTTGCAGAGAACTCCTGTGAGTTCAGGGCATTTAGGATAAAATTAGTTTTCTCAAATAGAAGTAAACTGGCACCTTGTAGCAAGGTCTTTACAGCCTGTAGTTGGAAAGACGTGAAAGGATAGTCAACTGCCAGTGCAACAGGGAGCTGATCTGCTGTCCTGCAGCAAACCCTCTCCTTGCTCCATGCCTCAATTTCCCAGCGTGCTCTGATAATAGTAGCATTTCTGAACAACATTGTCTCCAACTGAAGTGACTAGATTATAAATTTTGAAGCCTAAATAGCTTGAAAGTGATCCTAACAAGGTAAAGATTTTGTGGCTTGCTGGCTTACTGCTGGTCAGTCCAGATGCTGCTGCGTGACGCCTGGGCAGCCAGGCTGGCTTGGAGGGCTTGGCTCCAGCTCAGGCTGCTTGGACAGCCTGGTCTGGATTAGCAATCTGGCACTCTGCAGTCCTCGGCATGTCCCTTGTCCCCAGGGAAGCGTGGACAGCAGCTGCTCTGGGAGCATTTCCCACTGCTGTGACAGCTGGGGCTGCCCTGAGTGCGCGTGCGCTCACGGAAGTGGCTCAGCCAGAGGAAATCAAAGAGGAACCCATGGTCTTCCCCCACACTGAGACTCCCTTTGCCTGTTGGGGACAGTGGCCCCCCTTCCTCGTCTGACCCTCTTTCTGCATTAGTGGAGCTTCCTGGCCTGGCAGGAAAGAGCAGGGGCCCTGCCGCCTTCCTGTCCGCCTGGACGGGGACTAACGTGGCTTTGTCTCTCTGCTCTTCCTCCCTTCAGGCTTCGACTGCCGCTGTGGGAACCTGTTCTGTGCCATTCACCGGTATTCCGACATGCACGCCTGCCCCTACGACTACAAAGCAGAAGCTGCCGAGAAGATCCGTAAGGAGAACCCCATCGTCATTGCTGAGAAGATCCAGAAGTTGTGAAGGGGACTGAGCAGCTTGAACTGCAGACAGGTGGTCTGGTGCTCCTCCCCTTCCTCCCAGCCTTCCTCTTCCTCCCAGCCCCATTGGTGGTGCGATGTGGACTCCAGCAGAACACACAAACCAGCGCCCGGACACAGAGTCTCCTCGCACCTCTTTGGCAGACGGTGTTCCTTCTCTCCCTTCCTGCCTGTACAACAGCCACAGCTCAGCTGATCCGTTCTCGACCAGCTTCCCAAAGGAAAAGGGGCCGTCCTGCCCCACTACTCCAGTGCTGAGACCTTTGGACTTGTCTTGGGCCGGGGCAGTTTGCATGGTGCAGGCAGCAGGGCTCTGCCAGGCAGCCTTTCCCTTCAGCCAGCAGCTCCGAGTCCTGCGAACCACCTGGGACTCACAGCTGGAGGCCGTGAGCTGCTGCTGGACTTCGTTTCCTCTGTCCCTCCATCTCTGTGTGGCGGATGTAAAACCAGGAGCTGAGGAATCCTGGCAGCCAAGCTGCCTTCTCCTTCCCAAGAGGTGTTCGATGTCAGATGCAGAAAAGAGGATTCTGTAGTTTTAACACTCCAAATACCGCCCCCTCCCTTTGAGACACTGTTGTTGAAGCACTGAGGTGCTGAAGCAGCAGAGTACCGGCACAGTAAAGTTATTTTGTGGCTTGAAGCGACATAGACATGCTCCAGCCGCAGGTCAGGACATTTAGGAAAGTAGCGCTCGCTGCCTTGTGCCTCACGCCACAGGGAGCCAGGCTTGCTGCATCCAGGGACATGGCTGGGCTGCGGGACACCCTTGCACCAGCCTCCTGTGCTTCAACACTCCCTGGGCTGCTTCCCAAGCAAGGTTTGTTGTAACACAGTGGCGCCTGCGCCTCTCCTCTCCCCTCTGCTCCCTGCCTTCTGCCTTACATGATTCTTTCTCATCAGGGTTGTACACAAAGCTCTGATTGCCAAACCTCCACTTCCCTTCCTATCCCTGCACGCAGGTGGACACCAGGGACCCTTCCTCCCCTGTGAGCCTTGCTGAGATTTGGTGAGAGCCTTTCCCCGCTGTTGAGCACATTGGCTTGGGAAGCCCACCTAACTGCCCTGCTTTCCTCCCTTGCTGCTTGTCCCCATAGGATGAGAGGCAGGGCCAGATCCCCAGGAGACATTCCGAAATCCACACAGGGGGATCTGGGGCACAGGGAAGGGCGCATAGAGGACTGCAGGGCACATGAAAAGTCACGAGGAGGGTCCTGGGGTGCCCAGGAGTGCAGGTAGGGGCTTTCAGAAAAGCCCATGGAGAACTGCAGGGAGAGGCACTTGGAGGGCTCTGGGTCCACTGAAAGACTCATAGAGGTCTCGGGAGCACTGGAAGACTCAGGGAGGGCTCTGGGGTGCAAGGGAAGGCAGAAGGAGAGCTTTGGGGTGCACTGAACATGCTCAGAGGACTTGAGCACCCCAAAAGGTACCTGGAAGGCTCTGAGGTGCACACACGTGTGGAGGTCTCTGGGGTGCAGGGGAAGTCAAATGCTGGGCTCAGTAGCACTGCATAAAAAATGTGGAGGGCTCTGGGACTGTTAGGAAAATGTGGGGCTCAGGTACATGGTGCAAGGCAGGCAGTGGCTCCTGGGGCGCACCAAAAGCCACCTCTACACCACGCAGGGTCTGTGCCTGCTCCCCGGGAACACAAGGAGCGGGGCTGTGGCCGCAGGGCGCGCGGCAGTCTCACAAGCAGAGAAACCCAGATGAGTCCCAGGGGAAAAGCTGTAGCCTCTGCCCCACTTCTTGTCCATCCTACGCTTTGGAAGCATTTCCTTCTGCCTTGGCTCATACAAGGGCATCGGAGAGCAGAGCTGCAGGGGTTGAGCCGGCAGCCGGGGGGAATCACAGCAACTCCTTCCAAGTGCCAGTTTCCTCCCTGTTCATGGCACTCCTGCCCCAGTGATGGTGGGCTGATCGTTCTGAAAGTTTAGTTTTTCCCATCTGATTTCAGCCAAAGTGGTGTGTGTCCTGCAGCACCTAGCGTCATACGGGGTTGCTGGGAGGGTTTGGTCCTCCAAAATTGATGCAAATCCCCCACCAGCGCAGTGTGGAGGTGAGGCTGGCTCTTGCCAGCTCTTTCCTCAGGATTTTGCTTCTAGGTAATACTGGCGTCATATCCGGAGCACGTGAGTGACAGCACGTTTCAGTGCCGGGATGCACCTGGCTTGTAAGTGTGGCGCCAGCGGTGTGGCTGGGTTTTGCCGTTGAGGTTTTGGCTGAGAACGAGCTGTCACTCTCTGGGGGAAGCTGTGAGAAACTGCAGCCACCCCTTGCCTTGCGTTTGCACAAAGGTCGCAAGCCTCTGGGGAGGGGAAGCAGCTCCCATGGATGCAGCGGGAAAGCCCACATGGCAAACGGGCAGCTGCCTGCTTCACCACCTACTGTTTTCCTTTTATTTCCTTCCTCTTCATAAGTGTAAATATTAATACAGTCTAGTTTGCTTGGATGCTGTGTATGGTTCGTTATGGGCATGGATGCGTCACATGCTGGCACCAGCTCAGCTCCAGGCTCTTCTGGGGTGGCTGTGGAGCTCTGTGCCTCCATTTCCCCACAGATAAGAACCAGCTGTGCCAGGTGCGGTTGGGGTTTAGGAGTGCCCTACTCCTGGCACCCGGGCACCTCGGTACGCAGGCTGTGCCCAGCACGCCTGGGCTCTGGGAACCACACTCCCCGGTGGTGGGGGAGCTGCTCTCTCCACCCGCGTTTGCAGGCCTGGAGTGGGACCCCACGGTGCTCGTGACCTGGGGAGAGGTTGTGCCCTGGCCTAGGACGCGGGTGGGACCTGGGCCCAAACGCCCCTCCCTGCCCGTGCCCATTTTGTGGTATGCTGGGATGCGTCGGGATTTGAGGGGGAATACCGTGGCCTCGCC